CCCCTCCCAGGTATACGTACGTAGGTATGTACAAGCTTCGACAGGAAAAAAATTCTTAGCGCCTCGCTCAGCTTCGCGTGCTAGCCTAGGACGGTAAAACCAATACGTCGTTCCGCTGGATTGATTTCCTGTAACTTAGGAATTAGGATCGGTCATTCCTAAAAAAAAGAATTAGGATCGGTCGTTCCGCTGTTCCTGTTCGTCTCTTCGACTCTCCTCCTCACGAACGAACGACGCGACGACTGCAGCAGGCCAGGAGCAGGATCTCTTCGACCGAACAAGTATGTCTCGGCGCGCTCTCTTCCCTCGCATGATCTTGGTCCTATTTTTTTTCTTTCTAATCATGATTCCCAATTTCTCAATCGATCAAACAGATTAATAGGGAATTGCTTTTAGGGCGCTCGAATCATTCGCCCACGTTGCCAGATTAGATCACAGAGAGAAGGTAATATACCATGCCCTATCAGATTCTCATTATATTAGATGATCTTCTGTACTTGATCCAATATTTTAATTAGCTTTGCGCTAATTTTAAAAGTGAATTATTCCATTCAATTTCAGAAGGGTCATGTCGAGTACAGGTAGAAAGTATCCATCCGGAAGTCATAAAAGAAAGAAGAAGAAGGAGGCAGATGAGGAGAAAGAAGCATTGAGCGGATCTCTTTTTAAATATTATAAGAGCGTTACGAGCACGCCAAGTAATCCAGACGAGTTGGCGATAGTTCTTGCGGGTGACCGGATTGATGGCAATCCGGAAGATGATGGTCATACTCCTACAGAAGGCGATGCTGACGTCAACATGGATGATAGTAATGTGAGTGATCATGAGCCCATATTTAATTCATCTACGGCAGAATCTACTAGTGTTGATGAGGAACCAATTAGTGTGGATATTTATGATCCAAGCAATTGGGGTAATCTTGATAACAAAGCGAGGGACATATTAGTGGAAAAGGGGCCTAAAAGGGAAGAAGAAAACACTAAATATCCTTTGGATGAGAATTTAAGACATTTTTCATATAGCCGTTACTCAAGAAAGATGAGCAATGGAGAGGTCCATGATAGAAAATGGTTAGTTTTTTCAAAACACACAAAGAAAGTGTTTTGTTTTTGCTGTAAGATTTTCAATTCTGATAAATGCAAAAGTGCAATGGGGAATGATGGGTTTTGTGATTGGAGGCATATTAGAGACTGAAAGAGCACGAAGCTAGTGTCGACCATATTACCAACATGAACTCTTGGAATGAATTGAGAGTTAGACTGAGCAAGCATGAAACAATTGACAAAGACTTACAACAACAAATCACAAAGGAGAAGGAACGCATAAGGCAAGTTTTGTTAAGAATTGTTGCCATTGTGAAATTTCTTGGTAAGCGCAATTTGGCTTTTAGAGGATCCAATGAGCAACTTTATGATGATTGTAAGTGGAATTTTTTAGCTTGTGTGGAGATGGTTGCAGAGTTTGATTTGGTAATGGCAACAAAATCTCAGGCCCCGGATCGTAGTTTCGCCCCGGGCCCCCAAAATCTCAGGACCGGCCCTGGCCTGCTTGCGGAAAATCTGAGTCGGCTGTTCCAAATTTTGCTTCCAACGGCATGCCATTGTGCGTTTGAGACGATATGTTGATGCAGCTAGCTTTTGAATTTTATTCCAAAATACATGCGTGGTACCTAACTTGAGACAATTTTCTACCTTGTTTCTAGATACTCATTATTTCATTCAGTTGAATTTGAAAACTGAGTGGAACCCACAGGTTAATAACGGCAAAAGACTCATGTAGCTTAAGGCACCCCATGACAGAGCTTGAGGCTGTTGCAATTGCTACCACAACAAGAGGAACACACTCACGATCTCTCTTGGACTATTGGTGCTGGTACCACAGTTTTTGGAGATTTCCCTCTGCCATCAGCCAACAGGCATGGTATCGAGCTACATCGGCTTGTTTCCCTTCAGTTGTCCAAAAGAAGCATGGTAGTAAAACCATATGTTCCTAGCGCCTCCAATGATTCAGCCATGATGATGACTGGGGGCTAGCCGGCAATCATACACACTCTCCCTCCATCCCCCAAAAAGGCTGCCAGCAAAGGGACTGCAGCTGTACAAGTTCTTGTTGTGGTTCTACGTCCCATATGATATTTCGAAGTTATGTGTTTCCATATGCCTACCATTCACATTTCTCAATGGATTCCATTGATGTAACCCATTGTAATTGTCACTACCCTCTCGCTCGAGAACCTTGACTTTGTTTGTGTTATGTTTGGCTGCACAGTACAGTATTGTTAACATAGTTGGAGGCTACAAGGAGATACAGATGTAGTATGTCCTTTATAAGTACTGCACCGAGGAAGGTTGGTGAGTACATTAGCTATACATCCATTAATCTTGTGTCCAAGTCCGGTAATGTGCACCGTACATGAGCATTAATCGCCCTTTCTCCAAATAGGCCTCACAACAAATGGATGCTCTGCTCACATGTTGTGTATTGTAAGGATCGGCTTCCTACAAACGAGGGCCTTTCTTAGTCTAGGCTAGTTGGCTTGTGTCTCAGACCACACCCTCTCTTTATATTAGTCCCACCTCTCTGTCGAGCAGACACAATCTCGACTCTCTCCTCCACGCGTGCCCACTCACCACGTTTATTCTCTACCCGACTCACTCCTACCCGCTGTTGCTCAGGATCAATGGGTACGCATTAGTGCCATACCCCTTCAGTCCGCAGAGAGATTCCAGCGATCAATGCGGTAGCCCACGACTTGCTCGTATACTGTTACTGTAGGCTATTGTGAAATTGCAGCAACCCTGGACTGCGTGAGTCAAGGCTGGGTGGAAGATGAGGGGATTAAAGCAAGAAGTGCAAAAATTCGTCTAACTGGTACTCTGTGTCCGTGTATCTTGCTTTTTCAGTTTATCTAAAATTCATCTAAACGCAACAGGCAATAGGCAACAGGATAAAACGAAACACAACTGAAAAAGGCAACAAGAGAAGCAAAAGACATGTATATGGTTCTTTATATCCTGTGCCTTTTCAGTTTCTCAATGTCGGTTGTTTTTATGGGAAACTAGTACAACGTTGTCATTGAGGAAGGGCGAGCTGTACAAATTTTCTGATTTGTACTGTTATGTACATAATCCCCACAACCACCTCTCTCCTCAGGAATACTCAGCCCGGACCATGTAAATTGGCGTGAAGCGTATGCCTTCACAGGGATGTGTTGCGTTGTTTATATAGATTGACAAATTACAAGGTTTCGGTAGATAGGTGTTCCCGGATTGATCATCACGTCAAGTCTATACAACGGATACCAATCAATCTGAACTACCTTAACCACAAGATTAAAACGACCCACCCAACGCCTAATCCTAGTAGGGTAAATACGGTTTATACATACACCATATATACATACAATACATTCTAACAACCACGTCACTGCAAAAAAAAAAAAAAAAAACCACGTTTCCTCTCGCTACCTGATTCACCACCTACCCACCGCAGTTGCTCAGGATCAGTGCGGTATCCCTTCAGCCCCCACAGCATTTTGAGCGATCAACGCGGTAGCCTGCGGCATGCTTGTATATTGCAAAATGTAGGCACTTGTGAAATTGCACAAACCCTGGACCCTGAAATTTTATATTATAAAATGCTTGTATATTCTATTTGTGGGGGTTGAGAAGCAAGAGGCAAAAAAAAAGGTATTACTTTGTAAGGTCTTTGTAAATCATTAATAAAGTGGTTGCATGCATCTTCTAGATGCAGAGGCCGGGGGCATCCTTCTTTTCTAAAAAAAAGGGCACAAAAATACATCTAAGGCCTCCTTTGGTTTGTAGGACTTTTGTAGGAATTTCATAGAATAGGATTTGCAAAGGAAGAATTCTTTTGAAGCGCTTTGG